AGTCAAATCACCTTTCTTCCCCATACTGATGCTCGGTTTGAACTGCAGGAGATTGTCTTGACCATGTCTACATGCCTAAATGCACTGAGTTGCCGCGATGTGATTGGCTGATTAGAAATTAAGTGTTAACGAGCAGTTGGAGAGGTGTACCTAATAAAGTGGCCGGTGAGTGCATATAACAATTAACAAATAAACACATTGTATAAAACAAAACATCCTACAAAAAGTAGGGTTAATGGGAGATGGTGATTAAACTGAATAAGACTGTTTAAAGAGAAGAGTTTTAATCTGTGATTTAAAAATGGAGACAGTTGGAGAGTTTTTGATGTCCAGTGGGAGAGAGTTCCAGAGGTGGGGTGCTGAGTGACTAAAAGCTCTTGAGCCCATAGTGGTCWGATGAATTGGTGGTTGAGTGAGTTGGATGGAGAAGGAGGACCTGAGAGTGTAGGAAGTTCTGTTAATRTGGAGAAGTTCTGTGAGATACTGRAGGGCAAGATTATTGAGGGCTTTGAAGGTGAGGAGCAAGATTTTATAGGAAATACGAAATTTRATAGGGAGCCAGTGAAGATGCTTTRGGACAGGTRTTATATGACTGGYGGAAGGGATTCTGGAGATGATACGAGCAGCTKAGTTTTGGACCAGTTGTAGTTTATGGATGRATTTTGCTGGTAAACCAAAAMGTAGGGYGTTGCAATAATTTAGCTRTGATGTGACCAAAGTGTGAACTAGAATAACGGTACTGCTGGGTGAGAGGGATGGACGGAGACGAGCAATGTTACGGAGGTGAAAGTAGGCTGAACGATTGATGTTACTGATGTGAGATTTAAATAATGTGTTGTCTAGGATGACACCCAGACTCCTAACCTGAGGGACGGGGGATGTTGAGGTGCTGTCAATGAGAATAGAAAAGTTGTTGGTTTTTGCAAGGGTGGATTTWGTTCCAATGAGAAGAAATTCTGTTTTKTCACTGTTTAGTTTAAGAAAGTTGCTTGTGAAACAGGACCWGATATCAAATAGGCAGTCAGACAGTGAGTTGGGTGGGAGGGTAGCAAAAGCTTTGGTGGACAGATAGAGCTGGGTGTCATCCGCATAACAGTGRAATTGGATGTTATGTTTAYRGAAAAYATTTCCAAGCRGAAGGAGGTAAATAATAAAAAGAAGAGGGTCRAGGACAGAACCTTGTGGAACACCAGAACAGAGAKGGGTTGAATGGGAGGAAAAAYATTTTAGTTGAACAAACTGTGTACGACCAGAAAGGTATGAATTAAACCAGTTAAGGGGTGTGTCTGAAATACCAATACGTGATAGACTGTCAATGAGGATGGTATGTGAAATGGTGCCAAAGGCTGCACTTAAAACAAAGAGGATGAGAATGGAGAGGAGTCCAGAGTCTGCAGCTGTGAGGAAGTCAATAGTAGTTTTTAGAAGAGTTGTTTCTGTACTGTGCATTGGGCCGAAATCGATTGAAAATTTTAATACAGATTTTTGTCAGAGAGGTGGGAATGGATCTGGGAAGTGTTTTTTCAAGTACTTTTGAGAGAAATGGCAGATTTGAGATGGGTCTGAAGTTATTAATATCACTGGGCTCTGTTCCAGGTTTTTTAAGAATAGGAGTTATTGCTGCTGTTTTAAGAGATGATGGGACAATTCCAGAGGTGAGAGATGAATGAACAATTTCTGTTATTATTG